CAATATAATATCGTAGTTTATTATTTCTTTGGCCGTCTAGCTTGCGTTGTCTATACTGTTCAACGTCGAAACCATTTTCTTGTACCAACAGATAAATCGCACTTGTGTGCGAGTATTTCCAAATATGTGTCTTGTTGAAATATAATCAAATAAATTATTCCGAACCGATATATACACTTTTATTGGCAAACGCGGTTATTTATCTCTAGGACATAGTCTCGGTTTTGTTTATATCATATAATATCACACAATATATAAAATCCGTTGCTATAAAACGCCTACCTATTCGATGCAATCAAACGTTGATGGTTATCAGGAAAATATAAAAGATTTCCACTCGCAAAAATACTTATGGTAGTAAATTACATTTTCGAAACGTCGCATATAAAATATATGCTCATTTCGTTTTTTTTTTATTGTATGATTTTAAATGTGTTTCTTATGTTGTATCCATCTACATACTTTATACAAATTACATACTACAATATTATTATTTCCATAGCCATAATCTGTTGAAGACGAAGTATGATTTCTGATCAATAGAGTTGTTACAGAAAGAATCCGGTTCAGCGGTTTAGAAGATATCAGACACAAACAAATACAATAAAAACACATAATTGTAAAAACAAAACCTTCACCGCATTGAAGCTAAAAGTACATAAATACCCTAAAACAAATTAACATAGCTGGAACCTGTCGTTGAACAATGTTTGACAATATATATTGCCTGTATCTTATCTCCTAATAATAAATAGCCGTATCATGTCCTTTAACACGGCGTATCGTGTATGCAATATGGGTACATGGCCGTGTTGTGAATAATATTATACCCAACTATGTGGACTAGACGTCACTCTTTCGACCTTAACGTGTATCCGACCTAAGTCGATGCATTCAACTAGAATAACCAACAAATAATAGCTCGTTCGATTTTTATTTTTATGGTCAATATCACAATATATGTATATGAATCGTTAAATACAAAGAAGAGCACAGTACAGGTCTAAAAATTGTTCAGTAAAGATAAAAAACATAATATCTCTTGAAAAAAATGAATAACAACTTTCATATTGTAACATAATATAATTTCAGGTATCATTTATAAGTTTCCACAATCATTTTAAAATTTATTATAGGACTCAAGGTACTTAAAACGTTTTAGATCGTGGGCATATGCCATTTTTGCATCAAATTACCATAAAGATTAGGAAAATAATGTTGTGTTCTTAATAAGTAGCTTTAATAACACAAAGATTTTGAATTACATTATGATTTGCTAAACAGTACATTTTATGCTGTTACTTGATTTTTTTTTTATTGTTATTTTCTTTTTTTAAGACTAATTCCAGGGGATTGCATGATTACTGTGATTGTCTTGGTTGTTTAGGGAAGAAAACAAAATTTCTCAAACCGTCCCTACCCTGGTGACAAATTCAAATCTTGACAGAGAAGCGAGATGCCAATGTTTTGTTTTGTTTTGCCATGACAAAGGGTGAGCCACAGACCTCAGGACGAGCTGCGGGTGTGAGGCAATGTCTATTAATTGATCTTTGTTATTAATGATTCTCATTTTAGACCTTTTGTTGACCCGAATACAATACTCAATATACCCTAAACTGACAATTTTTGAGACATGCCAACAACATTGATAATGACTCACGACTTGCCATGAACAAACATGTACCGCTTTCCATGAAATTACCCATGTCTGTATATTATTATATTGCCTTTTAGGCTTCAAATATTTTCTTTACTTGTTTGTACAATATTTTCTAGTTGGTATTGTTCAAATTTCTTTATATGCAAACTTTTTGAAGATTTTCGCGGTTTATGTTAAACATTAGGAAAAGGAAAAATCATATGTTTTTACACTACATATAATCGTTTGTAAAAAAATGAACAGCTAACGCTTTTAACTTGCAGTTTATAAGTTTTCTTCGACAAATAAATAACATGTTAATTAACCTAATTTAATAAAGTGAATAAATTTACTCGCGATAAATTAACTCGGTGAAGGGTTCAGCTATAAACAAACAACGCAGTTTGTTCTTAAAGATAAAACCGAGAACGCTTGTGTTTGATTTAATCGTGCACTACGTTAAGATGTTATAGTTGAGTGCATTTAATTAAAACTACCAATTGACATATTTTATTGTTTCAACGCAGATGTCACATTTACACTGGTCGATAAATCTAAACACAGTAACATTACCCACTTGGCCGTTGTATTGGAATTCTCGAAAATTGTCGTTTCTCTAAAACTATCTACACATTTGCCAAAAATGCGTGCGTTGATGAAGAAATAAATAATTACTCGGTGTATTGAATTGAGATTTCGTCGAATGGAAGAATTGTGCATGACAATTTGTTTTGTGTATAATATTTTAATGGCAAGACGACGACCCTTATCGACGGGCCAAACGCCGCCGACGATATTCGTTTTGTGTAATCCCCGTTTTGCCGGAAAGCACTTTTCGCCTGCAACAAGCTTAGATGAATAAAAAAAAAAAATGAATTTGGAATTCAAACGATTTCAATCGTTCGATAATCGTGTATTTAATACCAAACTTAATAACGACGTGAACGACGCTATAATACGGTTTGTGGTATCTCGGCTCTGTCGGTTGGATAATAATGATTGCTTCAGCGTCGAATACATTTGAAAATAGCGGGGAAAACGATTTGTGAGATTTAAACCAAACCTGAAAATGCAGAAGCGCGATAATTTTGCTTAGTGCTTCGGCATAAATAAATCTAGTAAACAGAGTAAACCAATGGAATAAAAATAACGAGTAAATAAGTATGGCCGTTTGCACCTACTCTACTTAAATTTTAAGTAGAGTTTAACCTGTGATTTCAGTACAGCTAAACTATCAATTATTACATTTTATGTGTAGTTGGTGCGAACGGTCAGTAAACAAATAAATAAATTAGGTAAACGGGTAATTAAGCCGAATTAGCTAGTAAAAAATTGAATAAACAAATAAAAAAATAAAACGAAAATTAAATAAACTACAAAACAATGATGCAATGAGAAGTATAATTTTAGTGTGCCTGAAAAGTGTTACCCAAATTTTTGAACAAAAACACATATTTATGTTTGTTTATTTTGCATACTCATTTTAAAGTTAATTATGTTGAATAAAAATATATACATAAGAAACTAATTTTCTCAGAATATAATTACTATTTTGTAGTTTTTCTTTTCGAGGCTTTTTATTAATGTTATTTTACTGTATTCAAGAATATCTACTCACATTTTTATCTTTTTTCCCCTAATAAATTCTAGAGCTCTATTTAGATCACTCTGCATTTAAATCTAGTCAAGGGTTAACTTTAGGTGTCAATAGTCACAGATATTTTCAAATCAATTATTTGTCGATTTGATTGAGTCGGTAGATTATACCGGTAATGACCGTAATGTAGTAATGGGGGTTACAATCAAATCTACAGAGTGCACAATACTTACGTGCGCTCTGGTTGACTTAAGACATTTGATACAACGTGCAAGCCAATTACCAGCACAATCTTTATTGATGATGGTCACACGAGTTAATGTTCTTTGCGCAATTTAACCGTCGACCGAATCCTCGGATGAGTAATCGCACGAAGTCTATGTTTAATTAAGGACCACGACATCTGTCCTGTTAAGTTAATAGCGAGGGGGAAAAAAGAGGGAAAGTAAATTTATTTTTGGTAGTTAAAAAAAAACAAAACAAAAAAGGTAAAAAAAGCGTGTCGACATTATTGATTGAACAACGAAATTAAAATAATTAATTAACAACAAAGAGGATTTTTTAAAAAAAACTATGATGTTGCGTTTATTCCTGCGAGACTATGTTAATTTTAGTTTCGATACTAAACTTAAAAATGTATTGGTTTCGATAAAATATATGTGTTTCCTGTATATTATATTTTTGAATACTTGCTCGTTCAAAATTGATGTTACGCCTTAAAGTATGATCGGATTTTCTTCTGGCAGCTATTTAAATGTAAAACAACAGCGACGTGTATGAAATTCCTTTAGGTTCTGTTTCGCACATTTATGTACATATATTAAATTATACTTAAGTGAAATCGAGGCTTGCCTACAATAACAACATATTATAATACATTGTAAATAACACCGTCGTTCGACTTACACACAATATATTTGTTACTGAATCCAGATTTAAATGACAACTTTAAATGGTGTCATTATTATAAAAAAAAAAAAGGATTTCTGATGCGCCGACGGTAATGAATTATGGATAGTGATAGTGACAGATTGCAATAAGAATCTTACTCGGATTTATTGGATACTCCTTATGTAGGTTTATGTCAAACGACTATAAATGCATAATCCGTGTCAAACCGTTGAATACTAGCATTGTAAATAAAAATCAATCTTATTGCTTCACCTACCGACTGACTGATGTTGAACAATATTAATTTGTATGCAATTTATATTTACAATAACTTTTGCTTCATTTAACATGCGTTGAATCTAATCCTAAAATACTTAATTAAAAAAAAAAAAAAATCTATTGTTTTAAATATTTATAATGACCAAAAACTGTTGATTTTTTAAAGTAAATTTCCTAATGTACGCTTTTCAGTAAACATTTTTGGAAAAAGTTTAAAATGATTTAAGTGTGCATTAAACACATAAAAAAATTCAAGAAGTAAACTGTAAATCCGTTGAAAAGTTAACTATTGGTTTATACGTGTTTTGTGGTCAAGACCGACACTGTTTAATTAAGTATACGTCAAAATGAATGATGATTAAACTTGTATTTAAACCCTGAGATAAAGAAAAAGAAAACATATTCTGTTTGGTGAAACTAAACGATTTTTCATTTAACTTATAAACAATTGCCAAACGCCATATAGATAATTTGGAGGGTACTTAACCCTCTCTCCCTCTCGAATTGTAAATTAATCGTTTGTCCTTTACACCTCCTGTTTAATGTTAGAAAAAATTAGTTTAAAATAAAATGAAAATTTGTTTTTTATTACAGAAGTCTACTTCGCTGGTCAGTTAATATCATAACCGTGGCATTGTATTTCGAAGAAAACAACTCAAAAAGTAAGTGCAATAGTAAATATATAATAACGAGAATACTCTTGTTATTAATTAATTATTACTTTATAAACAAGTACAAACGCAGTTAGGGATAATTGTAAGCGACTACAGGCAAATATAAACAGAATTATGTTTATAGGACACATAATTTTTTTACTTTCAATTAAAATTAAAAACGCACTGTAAATGTATAAAAAAATAAAATAATATTTACATTTGCTGTACTTGTCCGTTGACTTAGAGAAATTTTTTGACTTGAAATGTATTCCATTATTGAAACGAATATGCCAAGATTGACACGGTTGTACTGTGGTTAATATAAAGGTGGTTCATTAAGGATAAGATGCCCATTTTCTGTTTGGAGGCACTTTAATGCTATTTTACATTATTAGGCAATATTCAAATTTGTATTTTATTTAGTATTTCCTAGAGCTTTAGCAGCTTTTAAAATTGAAATGGTAACAAATATATTAGATTGAATTTCTTTTAATTAAGAGTGACTTGTTGTGGCGTTTCGGTGATTAATTAAACTTGTAACGCTCATACTTCATTGCGGTTTATGGCAAATATGTGTTGTTTACTAGATACTCAAGAGCGGTTGATATCAGTCCAAAGTTAGAGTTGTATCAAAGAGTCTTAAGACATTTGTTGTTTGCACGATTTTCTTACCACGCAAAATCCAAATAAACACTGTTCATCGCACGAGACGGGCCCGGGTGTTTTGATGTTTGCGTGTAACGCTTTTGGTTAAGAATTGCTGTACCGACATAGTACATGTTACACTATAGAAACCTCTCCATAGAAGTTTACCTAAAAGGGTTGCCTACAATACTTCTTTCATCCGTATACTCAGCAGCGCATATTCATACGTTGATCAATAGGTACACATCACCCCGTTTGAAAGCCTACTCGAACGAAACGTTAGGAAATCCGATTTATAATAATTATAACCTTACCTTGTTGTGTGTAAAAAATAGGTAAATACATGCATTTCGATTAACATTAGTTGACTACAGCGAAACACTAAATTCGTGTCGCAAAATAGCAAACAACAAGTTGGATACAAAAACATTGGTATAGTATAAAACAAAGTTAGAGTGGGTACAATACCTTCTATGCTCCGCATCACGGCTAAAAAAAATAAAATAGAATACACTTTTATATTTTGAGGTAAAGGCACACTCGTAGTAATGTAAAATCGTTATAATATTTTTAGACTTTGCTTAAGTGACATTTTTTCTCGACATCTCTCTTGACAAAAACTTCCCGTCGCCGTCGTTAGGTATAGCTCAATTTTAAGCAACTATAATTATAATTATCGATTGACATTTAATGGCCGCCGAGTAATACAAACAGAATTGAATTTGTTTTTCTTCTGTTGATTTTCTAAAGTAATAATATTCTAAGATTTAATAATAATGCGGTTTATCTTTAGCCGCGTGACTGGAAAATATCACCGGATTGACAAACAACGCGTTGGTAAACTTTACGATCCAAAATAGGAGTTTCATAATTATTTCGCAAACATTGTTGACGACACGACGATAAGTTTTTCAAACAATTTGTCATGCACGCGATATTAACTACGTGTTTTCCGTGCCAGACTGTTAATACGATAACAAAATATATAATAAAATATCCGCTTTGAACTTAACGATGTTGGGTTCATCCGACTTTTACCTCAAAGAACGTGACAATTATTTACTTTTATAACCCCCTCCCCCCCCGTCCTCGTTTGTTCAGTAAAAGACACGATTTATTTACCCCTCCTACCATAACGAGTGTGAAATGTTCAGTTAAGATTAAGGGCAGGTGAGTTTTATATAACACATGAAGGGCACAGGGGAAGAAGGGTAGTAGTCCATTTATGAAAATCAATTTTTTCAAGTAGTTTTTTTCATTATATGACATTAATTTTTTTTATTTATGTCAATCGATTGTTTAAATAAATTCATTTTTTAGTATAGAATAGCACTTAATGTGATTTTGTTTGTTCTTATGTAAGAGGGAGAGGAATTCACAAACCTTGTTTTTGCTATAGGTACTCTAAAATTGTCATACATGGACTACTACCCTTCTTCCACTGTGCCCTGACGGTGTGTTATATATTATATATGTTACTCCTCGAAGAGGCGGAAATCGTTTTTTAAAAGTACTTTTCAACTTTTTGTTGTGAAAACTATTGGACCGGATTATAGACAATATCTAACACATTATTGGTTTTATCTTTTAAAACAATGAAGAGATATTACAAAAAAAAAATATATATGACATTTGGGAGTATATATTTATTTATCTATTACTACCTTCAAATCCATCCCTTACTAATCATAACTAGTACTATAAGTACTACAACTAGGTACTTATTTAGTTATAGTTTAACATAAATATCTATCGTGAAACACACGACTGAATAAAATCGACTAAACGAGTATACAAATCGAATAAACAATATTATTTAATTAATAATAACTAGGTCCACTAAGTTACATTTCTCTAATAGATTATATTATGATGCGAAACTGATTATAAGTATGTTTTTCTATCGTTTCGTTCGAGTAGGCGTTAAACGAGGTGATATTATTTTTATTATGTATACCTATAATGATCAATGTACGGTTATGTGCTTAGTGTCCGAACGAAAGGAGTATTGTCGGCAACCTTTTTAGGCAAACTTCTAAGGAGGAGTTCTATAACGAAACATAGTGTATTATGCCAGCACAGAAATTCTTAAATAAAAGCGTTTCGTGCAACCACTTTACAACGCCTATCTCTTTCGATTAACCGAGCTTATTGAGATTTAACACTATAAGAAAATCGTGCAAACAACAATTATTATTGGACTAAAAATACAACTGTGAGCGCAATTTCAAAAGTTTTCGCCAACACAAGAAACGACGATAATGCCAAACACGTTTTCGCAATGGATATAGTTTTGTTAAGTATTATTACCCAGAAAGGTTTTTTGGATGAGAAAATCTTATTTTTAATCGGTGTAGTTTTTAACTAGATTCGAGACGTTTGGTTTTACACAGCAATTTAACAACCTGTAAATTGCATCCTTGGTTAAATTAATATGACCATTTACTCCACCGCCCTCCTCAGGGTAATGGCATGTTTACCCCTCGTCCAACTGTTGGTCACGTAAATTACTATCAAACGTGGTTTTCTTAATAGCTCGGCCCGGAAAGAGAACTATTTGTCATAAACTTTGTGAAGGTTGTTGTTGCTCAAAAACCGGAAACACCGTGTTTAATCTTACAAAATGACCAGATAAGCAACCTCATGAACTCGTTAAGATGAGGCCCCCCATGTAGTAAACGTGTAAATCATAGACAAACATTCCACTATAAAATTGTTTAGCGATGGAGTTCGAATAGTTTTGTTTACAACTTTTGTTCGTATTATATTACATTTTTTAACTGAAAAATAAAAAATATCGGTTTATACTCAACGGTCGATATTTTGTCGGTTTTAGTATCGCAAAAATGTATTGATTAAAACTTGTTACTAAACAAATTTTCATTAAATTATATTGTACCCTTTACGACCCCCACCTCCCCAACTGTTAAATTTGCATTTACATTCCATACGCTTGTCAGATTTTTCACCAAGGTTAGATTTATACATTTTTCGAACTTAAAGAACATATATTTTATTTAAACATTTTCCACCTTTACATTTGACGATGTCATTTCGTCTCAATTTGTATTTATGATACGTTACAACGTTACATTAAGTCACTTTTCCCTAAACACGATTACTCAAGGAGTCTTTGTGAAATGAATAATTCTTTTTGACATTACATTTAATGTTTTTCTATTTAAGAACGTGACTTTCATTATTTAAAAAAAAAACATAAAATGATAATGACCATTAGTAGCTATAATGGTGTATATATAGTAGCTATTGGGTTTTTCTTAGGAAATCATATTGAAAATCGGTCATGGATTATTCACATTCTAATTTGAACGTTGAACGTACAACATATCTCTTATCTCATATCAGATAACAGCGTAACACTTTTTTCGGTTATTTGCCACAGCTAATTCCACCCCAACCCCATTCCCACCCCCAACCTCATCTTCATCCTCATTTCTTTTTTTGTTATAATTTTTTCGGTTATGTGCCAGAGCTAAGACATGAAAATGTCAAAAACTATTTTATTTTTTTATCAAAATCTCTACTCTGTGTTCTTAATTGTTAACTAAAAGCCCGATTAAAGTCGTCTGTTAAATGTTGAGACCATATTTTCGGTAAAATTCTTTGTTGAGAATTTCGGCCTACTATTACTATTTTTCATTAGTTTCCTTCTTCGCATTAGGTCTATAAGTACAATACTAACACACAAGTAGGTAGTAGGTATTGGACGTCTGAAATGAAATTAAAGAAATTAAAATCAATACACAGCAATGTCGACCCTGTGTGATGGTATTAAGAGAATTCTCAATAGGATTAAAATACATAGTTTCTCGTTACCTATTTGTAAGATTATATTATAGGTATTTCATTTCTATCTATTATTAAATATCTGTATCATATTGTTAAAGTAATACAATTCGACATATGAAATTAGAGGTAAATGAAATAATGATGTTAGACAAGGCCGGTAAGGTAAGACAATTTTCAATGGGATTTTCGAAAACCCTATGGTTCCGGTTAGGTATTTGTAAGTCTTAAACATATACACTAATGAAATATGCATAGAAATAGTTTTACGAAAGAAAAAACTGTTTAAAAGCAATTATACAGAGAAAAAATCTGATCGTTAAACTTTTACTGATTTTACTAAAAGTTATTTTTTATTTGTTTTAAATAATCAACCAATAATTCTAATTTAAATTTATATAATGTACAAATTGTATTTATATTGGATATTTGTAATGTCGAAAGATTGTAATATTAGCGAATTTGGTTACATTTATTTATGATTTACTTTTGGCTCTTTGTGAATTTATGTAAATAGTCTTGTTCGACTGTTTTTGTTTTTGTTTTGTGCTTAT